ATCTTATATGTGATTTAGGTTTATTTTTTTGAGCACAGCATTTTGTACATGACACCCATTTCTTTACTTTAAGAAATGTTTGGAGTTTATGACATTTCCATGAAAAACATGTGGATTTTGCTCACCACACTAAAACTGAAGCATGCATTGCACAATGTATGTTTGCTATGCATTATAAGACTGGGTGCAATGTTATAAGAGTTGGGTTCTTCACCAACAAAGCAGTCAACAAGAAAACGACATAGTGTGATGTGTGAAGGCAGTGAGAATTAATATGTAGCTATGGTTGCCATGGGCGTCCGCAGGAATTTTTCCGGAGGGGGGAGAGGGCATAATTGTAATGACATTCATGCTTGGTCCTTTTTTAACAGTGTCATGAAGGGGAGGAGCATAGTCATTATCACATAAAGCCATGGTGAATAGCGTTTTCACACCTATGGTGTTAGGAATACATGTATGTTTCCCAGACACTATAGTGTTCCTTTAAACAAATTAAAGGAACATTCTGGTCACCATAACAACTTCGTCTAAATGAAAATGCTATGTTGCAAGAAGGCCCCTGGGTGCTCTCTTTCCTTTAAGTGGTGAAACTGCTCTCAAATGGTTTAACCCCAAAGGCTTCCTCCAGCTCCAGATCTCTAGGTCACTCAGTGGTATTCGGCTTCTGAAACAGAGTGTCAGGAAGTGCAGATTGACGTCAAGCATGGGTGGCATGGGTGGCTGATTGGCTAGAGTGGTCATCTTAGGTTCTAAGCCAATCGCTAGTTCCTAATTCATAAAAATGTTTTAAGTTTTTATGAATGGGGAGCTACTGATTGGCTTAGAGTGTCAGCTGACCTCTCTAGCCAATCAGCAGCTCCCCTACCCAGCGGCCCTCTGTGTTTCCTGACACTCGGTAAATAAAAGTGAATACATTAACACTGATATTTTTTTTAGCTGGGGAGATGAGAAAGTCCAAAGTTTCCCTGCCAGGCCCAGGTACCAAAGCCTTATGATGTGGTGTCCAGAAAGAAGTTATTAGTGAGATATCACTTCACTTGTCCTTCTCTGTTCCTTTCTGCTCCTTCTCCTACTTTACCTTTGTGCTCCTTCTGCCGCTTCCATATAATTGCTGACCCTCGGTGCTACTTGATGTCCCTTCCTGCTCATTTATGTTCCTTTTCATTTCTGCTCCTTGCTGCCCTTCCTGCTCATTTCTGTTCCTTCTCCTTTCTGCTCCTTCTATTACTTTACCTTCCTGCTCCTTGCTGTTCTCTTTTGCTCCTTCTCCTACTTTACCTTTGAGCTCCTTCTGATTCTTTCTGCTCCTTTACCTTTGTGCCCCTTCTGTCCCTTCCTGCCCCTTTCTGCTCATTGCAGCCCTTTCCTTCTCCTTGCAGCCCCTTCCTGCTTCTTGCTGCCCCTTCCTGCTTCTTTCTGCCTCTTCCAGTTTCTTGCAGCCCCTTCCAGCACCTTGCTGACCCTTTCTGTTCCATGTAGACCCTTTCTGTACCTTCTCCTACTTTACCTTTGTGCTCCTTCTCATTCTTTCTCCCGCTTCCTGCTCCTTCTTTCTCCTTGCTGCCCCTTCCTACTCCTTGCTGACCCCTCCTGCTCCTTGCAGACCCTTCCTACTCCTCGCTGACCCCTTCTGCTCCTTGCAGATGCTTCCTACCCTTTCCTGCCTCTTGCTGCCCCATTCCTACTCATTGCTGACCCCCCTGCCCCCTGCAGACCCTTCCTACTCCTTGCTGATCCCTCCTGCTCCTCTTCTGCTCCTTGCTGCCCCTTCCTTCTCATTTCTGCTCCTTCTACTTTAACCTCCTGCTCTTTGCAGACCCTTCCTACCCCTTTCCTGTTTCTTGCTGCCCCTTCCTGCTCCTTCTTACTCCTTGCTGACCACTCCTGCCCCTTGCAGAACCTTTCTGCTAATTTCTGCTCCTCCTACTTTACCTTCCTGTAGGCTGTCTCCCCCCCATCCCTCACTTACCTGACCTGTAGGCTACCCCCCATGCCTTACTTACCTGATCTGTAGGCTGCCCCCCATGCCTCACTTACCTGCTGATCTGTAGACTGCCCCCATCCCTCACTTACCTGATCTGTAGGCTGCCCCACCATCCTTCACTTACCTGATCTGTAGGCTGCCCCCCATGTCTCACTTACCTGATCTGTAGGCTACCCCCGATCCCTCACTTACCTGATCTGTAGGTTGCCCCCTCCCCCCCATCCCTCACTTACCTGATCTGTAGTCTGTCTCTGCAGGCTGGGAGTTGCTGACTGCATGTGCTGTTCCCCTGCGGATTCAGTCAGCAGAGAGAAGCAGGGATAAGCTGTAGCTTCCTATCCCTGCCTTTCTCCATTCACAGCGCCACCTACTGTCCGGCGCCGGTATTGCAATGTATTTTCACACTGAAACAAAAAATAGCAGCACAAGCTGAAAAATCCAGGGGGGTGATGGTTGCTATGGCAGCACAAAGGGTTCCCTTGCAAAGAAGCTCGAGCAAGTTGACAATGAATATTATGCTATTATTCATAATACATTGCACACTTGGTGCATACAATAGTATAATAATTGTTTTCTCCGGCAAATGATCATATTCTTCTACAGCTCTGAGCTATAGGAGATTGTGTGTTTGATTTACGTTAGTTTTCCATGATTTTTGCCACTGAGAAACGTTTGAGAAGAACATTTATGAGTTTGTGTGAGAAATATGCGTAAATTACACAGGCAAAATCACAAACACTTTTTGGAGATGTTACACAGTAGCATTAACAAAGCTTAGCAGCACAAGCTGAAAAATCATGGGCATCCTTGCGGAAGCCCATGATATGTCTTACTCTGGAAAACAGACCTGCAGCAAACACTGGAAAGTGGGGCCACACCAGTTAAACAATTTAGAATGGGAAAGACAACCACAGACACTTGCTGGAGGAGGTGTGGGGGAAGGGAACATACCTCCATATGTGGTGGACATGCCCAAATGAAGAAGGGTTTTGGAATATGACCGCACAGCTCCTAACTGAGGTTATGCACAGACAAATAACAACAGACCCCTGGACCTTCCTTTTAGCAAAACCCATAGACGGACTGACCAACCGTGAACAAAAGCTGGTTAACAAAATCAACCAGGCAGCTAGGAGAGCAATGGCACAAACATGGCTGAACGTAGACATGTCACAGATGGACAGTGTGTCAGGATTACTGTTTTATCCAGCACGCAGAACTGTACAACACGGATGACAAATAAGTAACGTATTACCGGTCCTTAGAATGGCCGGATTTAACGTACAAAGAATAGTCAAAAATACTAGCCGAGGTCAGGGAACACAGAAAGGGACACAGCGATGAGGAAAGCCAGGAGTCAGGATACCAGAATATAGAGAAGTCAATAAACAAAGCCAAAGTCAAAAACCAGGTAGAAAACTATAAACAGGAACGCGCTCTCAGACAACCACAAGGGAAACCACGACAGGGCACTGAGCAGGCTGAGAACTGGGCCTAAATACCCCTCCTTTCTTTCTGATAGGCTGTAACCGGCCTTTGACCCCAAAGTCAGTTACCAGGTTTCATTTGCATAATTGCTGCTCAGCATTAACCCTTCTGTGGATTAGGTTGCTGCTCGGCACAACTTTTCCTGTGTGGACAGTAAATGTCATTAACCACTTTTCTATAAGCGGATGAATACATGAGACCAGGTTTCATTTGCACAATTACTGCTCAGCATTAACCCTTCTGTGGATTAGGTTGCTGCTCGGCACAACTTTTCCTGTGTGGACAGTAAATGTCATTAACCACATTTCTATAAGCGGATGAATACGTGACATTACCCCCCACCTGAAGAACGCCCACCGGGCGGACAGGACCAGGCTTGAGAGGAAATTTAGCGTGAAAAGCGCGGATCTTACGGCCCGCATGCAGGTCAGGAGCCGAAACCCAAGAACGATCAGCAGGACCGTAACCTTTCCAAACAACCAAGTACTGTAAAGTGCCCCGAGAAAACCTAGAATCCACGATAGAAGATACCTCATACTCTTCCTGACCACCCACCACCACCGGAGGGGGAGGAACACAAGGAACAGTATATCTATTGCAGACAAGAGGTTTGAGTAAGGACACATGAAAAGTGTTGGGAATCCCTAAAGATGCAGGAAGAGCCAGAGAGTAAGACACTGGATTGATCCTACGAAGCACTCTATAGGGACCAAGGAATCTGGGGGCAAACTTCATGCTAGGGACCTTAAGCTTGATGTTGCGAGATGACAACCAAACCCGGTCCCCCACTTGGTACACCGGGTTGGCACTCCTACGCTTATCAGCAAAATGTTTGAAGCGTTCAGCAGCAGCCCCTAGAGCAGTTTGAACCTTAACCCAGGTATCCCGAATGGAGGCCAGACGCTCATCCAGAGCAGGAATGGCAGTATCAGAAAATACCGCAGGGAGAACCGTAGGATGCCTACCATTATTGACAAAAAATGGACTGTGCCCAGAGGAGTCATGAACAGCATTGTTTCTAGCGAACTCGGCCCACGGGAGTAGTTCAGACCAATTGTCTTGTGTGCTATTAATAAAACAACGCAAATAAACTTCTAATGACTGGTTAGCCCTCTCAGCTGTACCATTGGTCTGTGGATGGTAGGAGGAGGAGAAGATCAATTTGTTTACTGAACGCCCTCCAGAACCTGGACACAAACTGAGAGCCCCTATCGGACACAATATTGTGGGGGATGCCATGCAAACGGACAATTTCACGTATGAAAATTAGGACCAAATCTTGCGAAGATGGCAACTTCTTGAGAGGAATGAAGTGAGCCATCTTAGAAAATCGGTCTACAACCATGAGAATAGTAGTGAACCCAGCAGAGCTAGGAAGCTCTACAATAAAGTCCATGGATAAGTGGGACCATGGAATCTCAGGAACAGGAAGAGGCTGCAACAGGCCACAAGGAAGTGCATGAGTCACCTTAGAAACTGCACACACAGAACATGCCTGCACATACTCCTTTACATCTTTCCTGAGTGAATCCCACCAAAATGATCTAGTGATCGCGGCAGTGGACTTATTGATGCCCGGGTGTCCAGCAGTTATATTGTCATGGAACACTTTCATGATATTAACCCTTTCACATAGGGGAACGAACAGTTTATCACACGGTTTACCACTGGGCACCTGAGGCTGGGCCTCCAGTATGGTGCCAAGCAGTGGAGAAGACAGTGAGAGGACAATAGTGGCAATAATACACTCTGGTGGAATAATAGGAGATGTCACCTGTTCTGGAGCTGACTCATTATCAAATTGCCTGGACAAGGCATCAGCCTTGGTATTTTTAGAACCAGGTCTATAAGTAATGAGAAAGTTAAAGCGTGAAAGGAATAGTGACCATCTAGCCTGTCTGGAAGACAAACGTTTGGCATCCCCTATATATGCCAGATTTTTGTGGTCGGTTATGATCAACAGGGGGTCCTTGAACCCTCCAAAAGATGTCGCCACTCCTTGAGGGCAAGAATAATGGCCAACAGTTCTCTATTGCCAATATCATAGTTGCGCTCAGCAGGAGACATCTTTCTGGAGAAGTAGCCACAAGGATGCAATGGTGTTCCCTGGCTTTCTCCCGAGAGAGAATAGCCCCTACCCCTGTCTCGGATGCATCAACCTCCAATATAAAAGGTTTACTAGTGTCGGGATGTTTTAGTATGTCTGCAGAGGCAAATCTTTGTTTAAGAGTCTCAAAAGCATTCACAGCATCTTTGGACCATACCGTGCTACTAACCCCTTTGCGAGTCATATTTGTGATTGGGGCTATTACAGAAGAAAATCCCTTGATGAATCTTCTGTAATAGTTGGCAAAACCAATAAACCTTTGAATGGCTTTTAAACCAGAGGGTAATGGCCAGTGTAGTACAGCCTCTAGTTTTTTAGGATCCATTTGAAATCCCGATGCAGAGATGTTGTAACCCAAAAAGTGGACTTCAGGCTGGTCAAATATGCACTTTTCTAATTTGCAATAAAGTTTATTTTTCAACAACGTCTGCAGAACCTGTTTCACATGGGAGTGGTGAGTCTGAAGATCAGGGGAATACACCAAAATATCGTCCAAATAAACCAAGACAAATGAGTAAATGAATTCCCTGAGTACATCATTTATAAAGTCTTGGAATACGGCCGGGGCGTTGCATAACCCAAATGGCATTACCAGATATTCATAGTGTCCACTACGGGTATTAAATGCCGTCTTCCACTCATGATTCTCTTTAATTCTAACCAAATTGTAAGCGCTCCTAAGGTCAAGCTTAGTAAATACTTTAGCTCCCTGAAGTCTATCGAACAATTCGGAAATGAGTGGGATAGGGTATGCATTTTTTACAGTGATTTTATTAAGTGCCCTGTAGTCTATGCAAGGGCGTAACTCACCACCCTTTTTCTCAACAAAAAAGAATCCTGCACCAGCTGGTGAGGATGACTTTCTTATGTGCCCTTTGCTCAAGGATTCTTTGATGTATTCCTCCATTATTTTACTCTCCTGGGGAGATAAGGCATAAACTGCCCCCTTAGGTGGCATAGCGCCTGGAAACAGGTAAATGTCACAGTCATATGCTCTGTGGGGAGGCAATACATCGGATTGAGCCTTGTTAAACACCTCCTGAAGTTCTCGGTATTGTATGGGAACTCCAGGAGTTTGGGGAGTGTTAGTGGGAAGGTCAATAGTATCCAATCTCTTTAGTACTGGTTTTATACATCTCCCCATACACTCTTTACCCCATTCTAATATCTCCCCATTAGCCCAGTCAATATAGGGATTGTGCTTACTCAGCCACGGAAACCCTAATATGATAGGACATGATGGAGAAGTAATAACCTGAAACGTCATCTCCTCCCTATGGGAGGCCCCAATGGAGATCGTAATAGGGACAGTTTCGTGGGTTATAAGCGGTTGTGTGAGTGGTCTACCATCAATAGCCTCTACAGCTAGCGGCGTAGGTCTCTCCCTGACCGGTATCTCATTACCCCTAATAAACTGGACATCAATAAAATTTCCAGCAGCACCTGAGTCCATTAGGGCACTGCAAGAAAACTTCTTGTTATCAAGGGAAATAGATACCTCAAGGAGGAATCTACTTTTGTTTTTGTTAGAGGACAACTCCATCACACCTAAGATCTGTCCCCTTAAGGTTCTTAGGTGCGGAAGTTTTCCGGACGCACTGGACAATTAGTTATCATATGTCCCTTTCTACCGCAATATAGGCATAACCCCTCCCTTCTCCTATACTGTTTTTCGGCCTCTGACAGTCTAGTGACCCCCAACTGCATAGGTTCGGGTTCGGACTGTACAGGGAGGTTAGACAAAACAGGTTTAGAGAATTGAGGTGCTAGGGACATAGCCGTACGTCTGGTCTTGCTTCTGGTGACTTCTCTGAGTCTTAACCTATTATCAATATGCATGACAAACGTAATAAATTTGTTAAGACTCTTAGGTAATTCTTTAGCGGCTATCTCATCTAGTATAGTCTCTGAGAGACCCTTTTTGAATGCTGAAATTAACCCATTGTTAGTCCAGTCTACCTCGGAAGCTAAGGTACGGAATTCAATAGCATAATCCGAGATAGACCGGTTACCTTGTCTGATGTGCATTAGGGCAGTGGAGGCGTCATCCTCTCTACCCAATGGCTCAAACGTGAGCTTGAATTCGGCAAGGAATTCCTGGTAATTATGAGCTATGCTCCGATTACTCTCCCACAATGGATTAGCCCAGGCAAGGGCCTTGCCCTTTAATTGATTCATTAGATAACCAATTCTTGCTCTGTCCGTGGGGAATGACCCTGGTGAGGCCTCAAAATGGTACTCCACCTGATTAAGAAAACCCCTGCATTCCTGGATATTGCCATCAAACTGTAGGGATGGTGATAAGGAGATGCTAGGAGTCATATTAACAGTGGGTGGAGGTACACAGGGTAGAGGTGCTATAGGAGGAGATGCTGCAGGCTGCAGATGCTCCGTTCTAGCGAGAAGCGTACTTAAAGCCTGAGTGAATTGATCCATGCGGTGATCATTCTCCTCTAATTTCCTCTCGCAAGCAGCTATGTGCTGACACAGTTCTACAGGATCTATGGCCATGTCGTAATGTCAGGATTACTGTTTGATCCAGCACGTAGAACTGTACAGCACGGATGACAAATAAGTAACGTATTACCGGTCCTTAGAATGGCCGGATTTAACGTACAAAGAATAGTCAAAAATACTAGCCGAGGTCAGGGAACACAGAAAGGGACACAGCTATGAGGAAAGCCAGGAGTCAGGATACCAGAATATAGAGAAGTCAATAAACAAAGCCAAAGTCAAAAACCAGGTAGAAAACTATAAACAGGAACACGCTCTCGGACAACCACAAGGGAAACCACGACAGGGCACTGAGCAGGCTGAGAACTGGGCCTAAATACCCCTCCTTTCTTTCTGATAGGCTGTAACCGGCCTTTGACCCCAAAGTCAGTTACCAGGTTTCATTTGCACAATTACTGCTCAGCATTAACCCTTCTGTGGCTTAGGTTGCTGCTCGGCACAACTTTTCCTGTGTGGACAGTAAATGTCATTAACCACATTTCTATAAGCGGATGAATACGTGACACAGTGTTATTTAAAAAATAAAAGAGACACACTTAATGGACAAACTCACTGCTCAAGTATGAGATACATACCCCACCTTCACTAAAATTTGGCAACCATGGGAAGACTACGTTGACCGCTGAGGACTGCAGATCAGCGGTCATGCCCCTCTTCTGTTTTTTTCCCCTTTCTGTCCTCCCTCTCACACTACTCACTTTACTTTCTCTTAAAAAAAACAAAAATAAAGTTCATGACTAGATATGGAGTTATCGAGACACGTCACCACT